CTCGGTATGCGCCACAATCGCATCCATACTATTACGTACGCTTGAACCCCATCAGAGTAGTCTCGCCCGATCCGTTCTAAGACCCCCGAGGGAAGTTTTACTGGATGCCTACTGGCGCTTGCTGGGAGGAATCCCTCGAGATTGCCCAGCTCCCAATGTTGTCCCGTCCAATGGCAAATAAGTTTTGGCCAACACGCCTGCGCACATGGGCAGGACCAGAAGATACGTCCAAAAGTCTCTTTTTACCCCTGGCAGCACTGCAGCATGCGACAGCTGCGGTCCTGCTCCCTCTCAGGAAAATAATTGTTGAGTTGCCGCACTCCCACACAAAAGCAGACCCATACCTGATACTCCATGAGCTACTTACCATGTGCACAGAGAGAGTACGGTGTCTGGGCTAATGCCACGGCTTGCCAAGGTCTCCGGCGTACCGCTTGCTCGCGTTTTAACACCGTCTGCGTCAATTCACTTTCTTTCTCTTTAAACCATCGAACCGGATGTTTTTTCAACGCCATCAGTACGTGTTTGTTCGCGATTGAGTCCTGAACACTCTATGGAAGACCGTGTAGAATGGATGCGCATAAAAGAAACTGCCCCGCGCTGCCGCGCTCTGACGGAGCGCCTGACAATCGGTCGCTGTCTGCCGATCCTCAATGTTGTCTTCTGCACTATCTTAATGGAGACTATCGCTCTTCTGCTCTAGCAGAATGACTTTTCGCTGTTAAATACTCGTACTGGCTACGACGCCTTGAATTTGACCTGGTGAAAGAAATGTCCAGTCATTGGCACTCGTGAGGTCGGGTGGGTGCATCTGGCGCAGGGTCGGACGCACTTTCAGACAGCCCCCTTTACCATAGCTAGTGCAATCAACAGTATCGCTATCGCCCAGCGCCTTAGTTTGGCCTGTTGGTGTTTGCCCAGTTCAGCTGTTGGTTTGATGAAAGATTATGTCTGGACCCCAGTCCGTTGCAGCTCCGGCCCCGCTATGCTGCATGGCAATTTGGCATACTTTCGAGCGGACAAGGAATCGCCCCGGTTGTCCGTAATCCACGGATTATTTGCCCATGAGTACGTGGGCCAGAACGATACCTGTTCCAGTGTCATGGCCCGGATACAGCAAGGCAATGGCCGTGGAAGCTCCAATACCCATTCCTCCGGCGTAGTCCAACTTATTGATGTGGATACTAGGTTCTCCGACTCAGTCCTGTACCGCTGCTGTCGTTCGACTGGATCCGGCAGACTAGGGGACAGCCACAGCCCGAGGAGCAGCTGCACATAATAACTAGGAGTTCGCCGGGATCGAAATGACTGTCGTTTTCGTTCGGTGAGTGGCGACACCCCCTCTTTCCAGGGCCTCGTAGAGCCCCTAAACATCCATGCCTGCCAAGCCTCAAAATACTTGTCCTTGCGTTGTGTTAGCCATAGGATGACCTGTTTCACCCGCTGTGTCTTGCGCGCTATCAGTATTAATGCCAGCCCGACCCCACCCGCTTGTTGAAGTGTATGCAGCAGCGTTGGAGCAATCTTATGGCGAGAAGCGTCAGTACTGGTTGAGCATTTTTACAAAATTGCTTCTGGAGATTCCTGAGCTGGGGTTCTGCCCAGGGTGGAAGCTCGAAGACCGCCGCGGTGAACAAGATCGACGGTAGCATGATTGCGTTCAAAGTAAACATTCGAAAGGAAACACTGGTGGCGACTTGAGACGCGGTGGCCAGGCGACGCTGCACGTTACGAATTCGCGCTGCCCAGTTTGTGTCCGTGACCTCACCAGTATCTACATAGTAGCCTAGGTAACGTGTCGTATATCCGTGCTGGAGCACTGGGATACCGTAGAACTCCGTCGTATGGACCGCCAAATTAAGAAATAAGATCTTGCTTTTGCGCGGTTGCACCTGCAAGCCCGAAAGCTTGCAATTGCTCCACGACCCGTAGCACTGCCGAACGTTGAATTGCCGCATTTAGGAAGTAAGTTTTATTATCTACGAAAGCAAAGACTTTGTATTTGGCACCATCTCCGTTGGGCACCTCTATGCCGGTGATCTGCTCATTAGTTTAAATCGCCAATGCGAGAACTTCCGCCGCGATTCAAAATAAAGGCGCAAGTGAACATCCTTGGCGAATACCATAAATCGCCTCTTGAGGATTCGAAAGCTCTCTGTTTACAAGGAAAAAGGCCGTGGTTCCAGTATGAATGTTCCTGATATTGTAGTAAATTCCGGCGAGAACCCAAACCTCGTAAGTGTCATGAGTACGAATCTTGGGAAACCGTATCGTAGGCCTTTATGAAGTCCAACAAGAGAATAGCTTCGCTACTCATCACAAGCACCTCGGGCTTTGCCGAAGCTGTAGTGAGGACGCCCATCATAAGAGTGCAGTCGTTTGCATCTGCATCCCCTTCACAAAGGCTTGCTGGGAATCACCACTTAATTTCCTTAAAAAGCGATGCACGCGTGTGGCGATGACTTTGGTGAAGGTCTTGTACCCAGATTAGGAGAGCAATCGGCCTGTAGTCCATCGCATCCTGCGAGTCGCCCTGTTTGCGCAAAGGAATAATGAACCCTTCTAAAAAGGATGGAGGAGGTTGACCGCCCCGAAGTAGCTCGTTACCAATGGCCACCATAGCAGCAGCCGTGGCCGCCTGAGTGTCCTTAAAAAATTGTAATTTATTTTATTTATCCCCGCTGCTTTGTGCCGGTTAAGGCCCTTAATGACAGTTATCACTTCGGTCAAGCTGACAGCTTTTTTAATTATGCCATTGTCGAATGCCGAGACACAGCGAATGGCAGGAACCTGAACAACTGCATCAAAAGCAGCCTCCAGTTGCGGCCGCTGTAGTTGATGGTGCACGACTCCCAGTATTGGCTACCATTCCAAAGCAAGCCGGTCAGCAGTCGTCATCGTGCGTGTAAACGCTGCTACGTTGATGTGACGAATAGTGGTAATGGTCTGGTCCTTCTAAAAGATAGACACACGCTCAAAATTCCTCCGAAGTTGATCCATGGTCCGCTCAAAAACGGTTGCCTAGCCGAACGAAATGCTCCTCCCGAGCCTCCTCCACCGTGACGTCTATCAGCGCTTTGCGCTTCAGAAAATGCGCTCGGCTTTGGGCCTATATAGTCGGCGTACAACTGAATTTCGACTCTGGCGTACATGTTTGTTGATCCTCTTTATACACTTAGGGAACGCTCCAGCGGTATCGTCCCAAGTCCATGTCGTCGCACCGTGCCCTACCTCTTCTTTTATCAGTATGGCCAGTAACTCAGCTACAACACGTACTGGCTGCGCCGACCGGATGGGATAAGTAACCGGACTGTGCTTATATCGGTCAACGTGGGTAACGGCCTTGTCGTCGAAGTGCATCTGCACCCGTTGATGGTACGAATGGACTTGAGGTTCGTCATCCAATACCCATTGTACCACCGACGATTAGTCTTATGGCACGTAAAAACAATAGATACGACTCGCCACATCCGAACCCCAGTATGCGAAAAAATCGAGCGGGTCATGTTTCTCCCCATCGCCTTCAACTTCCTCACTGAGAATGCGAGCGTTCACAAGATGTGCGGACTCCACAAGAGTTTAAAGCGCTATGCTTTCGAGACGCCCCGCTCGTGTTTCACCAAGCCTGTCAAGCCTCGGACTCTGAACACAATTTAAATCTCCCGCTTGAATCGTGGCTTGCTGTGACCTAGGCCAGCTCTGTAATTTAGTGGAACACATTTGCGATCGGATTGTTTGTTAGGCGCGTAAACATTCACCAGAAGAAAATTTCCACAATCAACTGCAACGACCCGATCGGACCAGCAAGAAATGTTCCAGGCGGCTGTTGACTCGGCTATAGAAGGTTGAAGTAGAATTGCCACACCAGCCACCCGTAGTTCACTGATACTCCGATATGACAACGCGGAATCACCGGGTCGGGAAGGTTGCCTACATAACCTGGCCCAGGTAAAGGTCAGGTAGTCGACCTCTCTCTGGTTGCAGACATGAGTCTCCTGCAGCATCCAAGCCAGCGGTCGGTCCGCTACCGGCGTCCGTCTCCAGGCAGCAAGCGATCTATCTCGGTTCTTGTCTCGGAATGCCCTGACATTCTGAGATTCAATTAGTCTGGCTCCCTGTAACCGTGAAGAGCACCGGTCGAACTGCTCCGACGGTTTGTCCGCTGGAGATAGATGTGACGGACGTAAGCATCCGTAGGACCGTGACCACTCCCTCGGAGTAGAGCTTTAATTCCTAAGGCATGACTGCCCTTAGTAATGATGGACGCTCTTCTCCGCTCCGTGCTCTGTAGGACCGGCGAAAAATATCGCGAGTTTAACCCACTCCACGTTGTGAGATTTAGTAGCGTACGCTTCACGATACCGCCCCACTGTTACAAGATCCTGAAGGTTACGGTCTCTACGGTGCACAGCCCCGTTATCCGTACAAGCTTCTTGACCAAGTTGAACTCGTGTTTCTTTCTCACACAGTCCGGCGCAAATAATATGCTTGCCTAAGCGACTTTTGTAGTTCACGTCACATAGTTTTTAGATCGAGTCGTTGCCATAATCATTAGTGCGGAGGCGTATCCAGTCGCCGCGGCTGTCGGTAAGAGCCGAGAAATTATATGGGGCTGGCCTTGAGAACTTGACTCCCTATGCATACAACCACTGGCGCGTCGCAGGATGCGTCGACCTGGAGCGATAGGAAATCAAGCGTGCTTGGACACAGCTACGTCTCCAGGCGGCTGTCCAGCTCTCAAAAACCTGGTGGTCGACAGCTTGGATGATCTCCGCAGGATAGGGGAAGCTGTGCAGTGAGGAAATAGTTTCCCGCGGCTCACGCTGCGACTCCTGAACCCACTTATCTGTGCTACTGAGCATGCGAAGAAATGCTACCATAGCCGAAACCGGCCAGGCATCCCCGTGATTACACCACATATCCGGCCAGGTCGCTCTCGGGGCCATGAGATCCGCTGACCTAATGCAGTGTGGGAAGTCTTGCATAATAGCCTCCCCATCTTAAACATCCCCCGCTAGCTTATTCCGCATAAATTGTTGAATTTGCTCCCCTTCAGCAGGAGTAGTCGAGTGCGCTTTCTTTTGAGCAATCGGTTGCTCGCATGAGTCCCAAGCCAAGGGGAGCAACGCCAGTTGAGACCCGTTGGAGCTTGGATGACCAATCGACGATGGGTCAATAATATCCTCTGTGGAAAGTGGGTACTCTGTAGTCTGCATAACGACGCCCTTGCCCCCCGAACGTTGCGACTCCGTGGGGTCCTTTTTATTCTCGTCGAGAAGAGAGCACGAATCCACACTTGGAGACCCGGTATGAACGTAAGCAGAGTAATGATCTCTCCAGAATCTCCTCACAAGCGGTAGGTTCTTGTCCGTAAATTTAGCTACTGCGATCGCGTGCGCGCACTGGCTAATCTCCAATGGTACGTGCTCTCCGTTCTCCTAAATTTTGGCCCCCCTTGTAATCGTGCTAGGACGATACAGAGAGCAGGCCCAGGAATTGAGGTCGTCCGTTTTGTGTGCGAGCACAAAAAACAGACGCTGCAGAAAGCTTGCCGCCATCGATAAAATTTCGCAACTTTCCCACTTAGGCTTCTTAATTATTGCTAGCCGGGTCGATGGTATCGCAAAGTTTTCATGTAGGTACTACCTTATTTGTTCCGAGGAACTCCTAGCGTCCATTCCTTCCCATCCCCGCGACACATTTATCTACGTCATCGTGCGGTCAGAGGGGGTAAATTGTTCGTCAAAATTTGATAAACCCGTCCAACAGAATCCACGCTTGATACAAGCGGTACTGTTCTCCAAATAGTGTCTTGGGCAACCAGATCATGGTCCGCTACCACTCGCGCGATCGCCAGCGCCTGACAATTTCCTGTAGCGGGGGTTATGACTGGTCTTAGACCAAGAACCCGTTCAATAGCGGGTAAATGGTGTATATCGCGTATCACAGGACTCTCCACCGCTAGCAAGAGACCCATACCAAGATTACCATCTGCCAATACCTTGCGTATCGTATCTCGTTTACTCTGCTTGAGCGTAACAAGCTGAGATGTCGGTCGCCGGCTAGGTCATTTCGATGAAAGGACATGCAACGATTTCTTCTCGGCCGCTAAAGTCTGGGGGACCTCGACCGGCTTGGTGAAGGACTCAGCCGTAAGGTCGACCTAGTCCTCGACAGGTGGGGTAAGTGTACTGGTCGGTAGACTAACGTCTGTGTCCTCAGGCCACTCATGAGACCTGCGTAAAACGATGATGCCACTGTACTTCGCGTAGCAGGTGTCTTCGTACGGGGCTGGAGCTTCTACCCCTGCGGAAAGGGACTGTCCTTCATTTCATCTTGGGCACTGGTGCAGTCTCACAGACATCCGAGGGAGTCTATGAAGTGCCAGCGCTAGGCATCGTGGTCTTGGGTGGGTTGGGTGTACCTGACACGGAAGAGGTAGGTTTCACGGCCGTCGGCCACCTTCTGTCCTGGTCCTTCTGTTTTTTTAACCTGGTCGCAGCCGCCTCTTTAAGTTCATCCAAACTGCTAAATAGCGTAGCCAATTCCTCCAGACCGGACTTTTCTCGGTCCGTTGCAACCCTGCTGCCGGGTCCGGACAGTTGTTCCGCCGTATACGAACATCTCGCCATGGTGTGACCCAAGTCCTCACAATAGAGAATTTGTAGACGACGCCCAACATCCGGGTGCTTAAGAATAATAGGTCCGCCAAACCAAATAAGGCGTACGATTCCGCGCAAAAATTTATGTCAGCCAGCCATCCTGACTGTCAAATACCACACAGTAGAAGGTCGGGAATTGGGAGTACACGTATCCAAATCCTCCAATTCAAAGTCTGCAGCAATATGATCTTGGAATTATGCAGTCAGCCGGCCAATATCCGTGAAGCGGGTGACGTAATGTAGCTACACTGCATATTCCCGCTCAGTAGCCAGACGCGTTTCATCACGGCTGAGTTGACGGGTCCAAACCGACCCCTTGGACGAAAGATGCATGTTGGTCACACGAATACCTCGTTCTGAAACGGTACAGATACAAAATCGATTTTCCGTGCCGTGACACGGTTAAAAATAGAAGTGAATGCAGCGTTGAAGGGGGATGTAGCTTATCGTCTTATCAGCATTTAGAAAACGCCGAAGAACTTCCTGGTCCACTCGCAATCGTTTCGCAGCCAACAAGATGTCTTCCTTGATAGTGCTTGTGGTCTGTCGACACATACGAATGTTTGTAACGCTACGCAGGTGCAACACGAGTTCACCCTCCACCTGAACCCAAATAGTCCGGGCAAGTTAAACGCGTTCCTTCGAATCCAGAACGCTACTTAGAAACATCGGCAGGCGCCTGCATACGATTTTATCCTCCACTAGCTTGCTAATAATCCTCCACTCATCTAGTGTGCCTTCACGAAGCTTGACACCGCTCTTATAGGTTGCTGGCTGCAGTCACAGCGACCGTAAAGTCCTAATGTCCTGCGAGTTGTAGACCGCCGGATTAAACATGACGACTTTGTAAGTGTCACGGTGATCTTGAAGGCGTTCCCTTCCCTCCGTGTCTCCACGGTCCGTCTAGGGGGACGTTGCCCACTGATTCATCGGCTTCAACCTAGCCCAATTGATCTTGCTGATCATGCTCTGCACAATAGGTCGGAAGGTCCAATTAGTGTTGTAGAGTGTTTGGGTCACTTTTGTGTTATATGCTGCCCATGCCGCGTACGTGGCATCACAGCTCACCCACGCGACCTCGAAGAACTGGAAAAGGGTGACTTTTTCTTCACGTCATAATCTTAGAAAACGCTTCTTACCCGGAGATACTAGCTCCTCATCAATTTTGACGGAGTCGTGGACTATCGTGAATAGCTCGGCTAGCGTCGTAAGCCATTCGTCACTTGGAAGGTCATTTATCGCCATTTGTCGAGCCTCTAAACACGCCGCGTAATCGTCTTGCGACCAGACGGCTGGGGGCGAACCGTCCGGATATAAATCACGCGTCTTAGTGTCAAGCGACGGGTCGCCTGAAACAGGCGGTGAACTGGCTTCCGGCTTGGAATTTAGCGACGGTTGGGTAGGGACCGGCTCCGTTTTGTGTCCCTGCTTAGCCGTAGGCGACGGTTTACAGGGAACAGGCATCAAATTGGTAGATACGCTCTCAGGAACGGCTGTGTTGCCGAGCGTTGCAGAAGAGGCAGACGAGGGTGTCGCGTTATCTCCCTCCGAAAAGACAGCGCGTTGATCCGCCCCTCCCCTACTGGGCAGTGACCCTTTCCTAGGAGAGTAAACCTCGGGCTCCTGGGGTCGACGATTGCCGACCTCTTGGTCGGGCGGTACGCTGTCATGCGGCGGCAGTTCTCCCGTGACGGGGTCCGCCGATCCGCGCATGGGGCGTGGATGTAACAGGGTGAATCGTTACATAACAATTTATTAGAAATTGTTAGTCGAATATAACTATAAGAGTTATATTCTCAGAATATTGTCATACGGACAATATTCTGTAGCACTTCCAAGTAGTTCCTAATTGGTTGATATAGGCCATTATATCAACCAACGAAGACACGCCACGACAGACGCACGCAATGAGTGGTGAGCAGATAACTGATTTACACATTTGTATTTAGACATAGTTAGATGAAGATAAATAGTGATTTATTGCAGACATTAACTATAATAAATACAGTTCTACTTTTTACTCTAACCAAGTACTCGCTTCTTCTTACCGTCTTCCTCTGCACGTACCAGTGTACGTGAAGTTACGAGGCACCGCCTTATTCTGTCATCAGAATAAGTAGCTTGTACTGTCACCAGTACAAGCTTCAGGGTGCCCCGTTACACCTGGTAGCACTTCGTAGTCCGTCCAAGGACCGCGTTCACATCCAACATGAATATGTTGGATGATGAAGATGACCAAAGCTTTCACGCTACGCGTGACGGCTACTCCCATTTGAGCGATGTCGAATGGGATGCGGTTGAACGAATGGGTTCGACCATGGGCATCCATGCTGTTAGCGTCATGCTAGAGGCTCTCAATAGAGATGCCCAACATGCTACTATCGCCAAGTTCATTCAAAATGAACTTGACGCAGAACGCGAGAAAGTAGCCTTGCTTCACCAACAAGGTTCTCAACAAGCAGAGTTGTTAAGAGAACAGGGTGCTCAGCAGTTTGAACTGTTGAGACAGCAGCAGGCTGCTGCTGGTGGGTCGATGCACTCGCGTCGACCCGAAACCTTGAAGATTGACATCTCCAAGTATAGGGGGGTCGAAGAAGACTCCCTCTTGAGATGGTTCGTCGAATTGGATGACGCCATAAGGGCGCGTCGCATCGACGACGGGGATATGCAAGTTGCAATTTGCCCAGTCAAATCTGGCAGGACGTGCCAAGACTTGGGCACTGGGGCTCAAGTTGCACGACCCATATGCGTTTGGGTCGTTGGAAGTCTTCAAGTCGCGGCTCAGACAAACGTTTGAACCGCCCAGAGCTGAGTTCAGAGCTCGAACCGAACTCTTGAAGCTCAAGCAGGGTAAGCGTGATGTACACGCTTACGCTCAACATATACGACATCTCACGAGTTGTATAAGTTCCAATCCGGTGGATGAACACACGTTGGTTTCGGTGTTTACACAGGGTCTCGCGGATGGTCCCGTCAAAACTCACCTGTTCCGACTTGAACTAGATTCACTAGAACAAGCCATATCCATTGCGGAGCAGGAAGACTTCAGTCTGAGACAGGCTCGCGCCAGCTCGACATCATATCGTCAACCGAGACGATATGACAGCGGAGGTCCAGAGCCGATGGAACTCTGTTATGTCGAGAGCGAGAAGGCTCGCTCTACAGGCTACAAGAAGTTGCAGAGATGCAACAGATGTCAAAAGACAGGACACTACGCTTACGAGTGTAGTGCCCCTCGTCCAGTGTCTCGCGACACTGGGCGTAGTGACCGTCAACCCATGAGAAAGGGGCAGGGACGCGGGTCCGCTGTTGGTGCAAAGACGCAACAACGGGATGGACCGTCAAAACACGGACAGGATCAGTAGGTGCGGAGCACCCTACTGGTCCAGCAACGTCAAGAGAATTTGTAGGCCTCTTGATGAAGGTTGCTCCCAACACACAAACGTTGTGCGTTGCTGCTCTAGGTAATGAGATCTTACTAATTACCTTGAAACTCGAAGTGACAAATAAGTTGTCCCTTCAAGCTCTAGTCGATTGTGAGGCGTCCAACAATTTTGTGCGACGCCAATTGCTAGAAGATGGTCACTTTAAATTCAGTGAATGTGACACATCTCCTACGAGGATGACGGTACGTCTTGCGACAGGCGCATCCGTAACCGTCATGAAGCGTATAGTGAAGATCCACTAAACGCTAGAAGATACCCAATATGACGATGACTTTATCGTATTGGATTTGGATGACAAATTTGATGTCATCCTTGGAATACCGTGGCTCAGAAGGTACGAACCACGGGTAAACTGGCAACATCAAACAGTAACGATGCCTGCCGCTTGTTCATCAGATGGCCATCTGATGAACGCTTTGGAGCGTCCACAAGCGTGTGGATGTACTACGAGTGAGTGCGATGGCCTCACTTGTGGTACGGTCGTTAGTACGACTGCACAAAACCTTAGTGTACCAAACGGTTACACTTCGGAGCAAAGTTCCGGCGGCTGTGAGGAATCACAGGCTGCGCCAAAGGTCCACCACTCGAATAAGTCGGGTGGACTGGGACAAAGATGTATCCCTAGCGGGGAACATCTAGAAGAGAAACAATCGATCGCTCAGGTTAAGCGAAACGATAATCCTAGATCGACTGGAGAGTCTTTCGTAGATGATCTCGCTGTGGTTGCGCAACCCCAGCTAGAGGAAGTAAAGGGAATAAGTCCCAAGATTACAAATACGGCGGAAATAAATTCTTCGAAACCCGCGGGAATAAGTCCCCGGGAAGCCGAAGGAATAAGTCCTTCGAAGCCTGAGGGAATAAGTCCCCAGGAAATGACAGAGACATTGAATGTCATAGTCAATAACGGATCAAGTGTAGGCGCTTATACACTTGATCTGATTGCGCCTCCGAAGTTGACTTCGGAGATCACTCAGTTGCCAACGCTCGAACACAAAAGGTTCTTGCGTGATCTGCGTAGTGGCAAAGTCAAGCAGATCTGCGTACTCGTCGCTGACGACGAGTGTGTAGCTGACATAAGGTCAGCAACAGTGTTTACTGAGAACGAGAGACTTCTCAGTAGTTCATCGATGAACGAGAGTGTCCTCGATGAAAAGACACGAGTTGAGCGATTTGACTCCCAATCGTGGGAATCGCTCAAGACAAATCCTCTCCATAAGGATTTGGTTGAATTCAAGAAAGTCTTCCCTGAAACTGTTCCGTGCGAATTACCGAAGGATATAGGTATTCGACACGAGGTCGAGCTTAAACCAGGCTCAAAGTACTGTGTCATGAAGCAGTGGCCACTGCCTCGTGAACAGGTACTTGCGATCGACAAGTTCTTTGCCGATCGTTTAGCAGCGGGCCATGTGAGGGAATCAACTTCCCCACATAGCTCTCCGACCTTCTGTGTGCGAAAAGCAACAGGAGGGTGGCGGTTAGTGCACGCGTTTAACAAATTGAACGCTGCAACGGTACCGGCTCAGACGCCGATACCGAGGAAGGACGTAATCATTGATGGTATGTCAAAGAGTACCATCTTTTCGTCCATGGATTTGATGGATGGCTTCTATCAAATCCTAATGCGGAACGGGATATACCCTATACCGCAGTTAGCACGCCTAGCGGCATGCTCTGGGAATGGCTAGTAATGCCACAAGGGCTCAGTAATGCCCCTGCCACGTTCAACAGGTGTGTATCACATCTGTTGAGGCCAGTACGAGAATTCGCGCCGAGTTATTTCGATGACGTATTCATCCATAGTCGAGCTATGGATGGAAAGTCGGACGTTGAGGTTCACAGGTACCACGTCCGACAGGTTCTTACAATCATGCGAAAGCATCAATTGTATGCAAACCTCAAGAAGTGTATATTTGCAGCAAGCGAAATACCACTTCTTGGGTGCATCGTGTGGGTAAGAACGGTGTACGTCCTGATCCCGAAAAGATCAAGGCGATCACCGACTGGCCTGTGCCGGTCGATGTCAAAGGTCTTCGAAAATTCCTTGGGCTAGCGGCGTATTTGCATAAGTATTCACGCAATTACGCCGAGATGACTGTGCACCTCTCTCGTTTGTTGAAAAAGAACGAGAGGTGGTTATGGAACGCTGAATGTCAACGCTCCTTTGATGGTATTAAGCAGAGCTTGATACAATCCCCAGTCCTAGCTATAGCCGATCAGGACAGGCCATTTCATGTGGTCTGTGATGCCAGCGATTTCGCAATCGGCTGTGCATTAATGCAGTACGATCTTGAAGGTGTTGAACGCGTCGTCTGCTATCAGTCGCGTCAGCTGCAGCCAGCTGAGCGGAACTATCCAGTGCATGACAAGGAACTCCTTGCCATGAAGTATGCACTCGCGAAGTTCAGAGTCTATCTATTAGGAGATAGACCCTTCATTGTTTACACTGACCATGCGTCCTTACGCACGGCAGTGAACAGCCCGCACCTTTCACAACGAATGGCGCGGTGGTTGTCATTCTTTGCAGAATACAACTTTACGGTTGAGTACAAACCAGGACGACTTAATGTCGTCGCTGATGCACTCTCGTGTCGTCCCGACTTTGAACCAGTCGTGAAAACCAACAGTGAGACAGTCACTGTTGCGGTTATGACGTCCTCAGTACCATCTTCAACGTTGTATGATGATGTGAGGCGGGCATACGCCCAAGATGAACTTGTTGACACATCTCTCACAGCCGTCTCGAGAATCGTTGAAACGGTTGTCGTCTGCGTATCGATGTGCATCAGATCGATACACTACTCGCAACGGTTTACTGTATTATACAGCCGTTTCTGGTGACACACCACGTGTTGTCATTCCAGATGATACTGATCTGCGTTTGCGGATCATGTTCGAGTATCACGATGCTCCTATAGGAGGACATCGTGGCCGGGAGAAAACATATCTCACGGTCAGTCGAGACTTTAACTGGCCCCGCCAGTATCAGTTTGTGCTAAAGTATGTTCGCGCATGCGAAGTCTGTCAACGAGTGAAGTCAAGTCCTTCACTGCGTGCACCTTTACAGCCTCTACCGGTTCCGGCTGAGTGCTGGGAATCCATCTCAATGGATTTCGGCTTCGGGTTACCCAAATACGCACGCTGGAATACGGGTATTCTCGTATTTGTTGACAGATTCAGTAAAATGTTACACCTTGTGGCTGTACCAGAGACAATCACGGCAAGTGGCTGTGCTTGTGTCTTTATTGACACCATCTTCCGACTTCATGGGTTGCCCCGTGAACTCGTATCAGACAGAGATCCACGATTCACTGCTGATTTCTGGCGTTCCGTGTTCAAATCACTCGGAACGCGCTTGAAGATGTCTACATCTGATCATCCAGAGTCAGATGGTCAGACGGAACGTGCCAATCGTTTCCTTGAAGAGATACTTCGAGGGTACGTACACTCCTTTAAGAGTTGGAGTGAGTTTTTGCCAATGGTAGAGTTTGCCATTAACAACTCGGTGCATGCGTCCACGACATATACACCGTTTTACGTGAATGGCTTGCGCCATCCGCGTGTACCCACCTTACTAGAGTGTAACTCTGGTTTAAGGGGGGGAGGGACTCGCGCGAGCAAAAACCGATTTGGTTCACGCTCATCACGCTCTGACGAAGAGGTCATTGCGTTTGATGCCGATATCGATAACATCGTTGTCGAAGAAGATGATGCCAGTGAGAGTGCGGAAGTCCTCACTGAAGAAAAGATTGATATCGCTGCAGTGCACTCACGGTGCACTGAAGCTAACGAGTCATCAGATGAGTTCATACTGGCTCGTGACACGGTAGTCCGTTTTGTGCAAGACTCCATCGCCGAAGCGGTGGATAAGCAAAAGCAAAACGCTGACAAGAACGGAAGGGCAAACACTCTTTTATTTAATAAAGGTGACTTAGTCCTACTGTATACGGTTAATCTACCAAAGCATGTAGTGACTAACTTGGGTAGTAGTAAACTACTACCCAAGTACACCGGCTCATTTCGTGTATTGCACCGCCTAGGCAATGCATACACGATCAAGTTACCAGGTAAGATGCGATCGCATCCCACGTTTTACGTTGGTCGGCTTAAGCCGTACCTTCAGTGTGCTGCTTCTTCCGATGAAGAACGCCCTTGCGCTCAAGCATCTCGCAGAGAGCCTTGTGCTCCTGATGGTGGCCATCGACAAGGGTCTGAAGAGCAGTTGTCTCATCCCGAGACCGGTCAAAATTCACACGAGCTACCCTTAGCTCGTCACGCAGAGACGTCAGAGCTCTCTCGTTCTCAAGCTGAGCAAAGTCAAACTCATCTCGATGATTCAAGGCAGTGTCCGCCA